ATAGGAGCTCACCAATTCACCATTTATTTATTTGAACAAAAATTCTGTAAAAACAGTAATATTGTGAACTATTAGTGCAATTTAAAAACTGAACAAAACAACTGCTCATTTACAAAAATATCTAATCAGCCAATCACATGGCAGCAGCTCAATGCATTTAGGCATGTAGTCATGGGCTGAATCCGAAATTGGCCCTTTAATCCTCATTCTGTATTCTCTATAGTCAACTAAAACTGTTTACTTGAAGGAGTGAATAAAAAAAATAGTAGGTGAATTCAGACAGCCGTTGAGCTTACATTGGTTGTACTTTCGTTATTCTCCTATGATTGTGAAAGATACACGAATAGTTAGTGAAATGCCTTAGATAACACCAGTGACGTGCGGTCTGAGTAGGCAAACTAGGCACTCCCTACCCCGCCAAAATTCAAACATAAAAATGTTTATTGAATAATAAACTTGAATTTGTATTTTTACTGTTTATTCTTGTGATTTATAAATGCAATTTGGGTGTTATTCCAAATGTTTAGACGTTACAATGACAAATGTAGAAGTTAAGCACAATCAAATAAAAATCAAATGGTAGAATAAGCGGTGCTTTTACGGTCCATTCATTGCAGACGACAAGAGAAAAACCCATGTTGCGCATGCGCACTGTGATGATCCTGTATTCTTTAACATGTACGGCAAAAAGCTAAACTCTGCTGTGCCTTTGGGCGTAAATATGCTATGCTCGTAACCATCTACGTTACATATCAGACATGGACCAATTAAAATCCGAGATATTTGTGCAACTAACGTCATTACACCACAGCTAGCCTACATGCCTAATCCCCGCCAAATTCAAAGTCAAACTGACAGCACCGCCCGTGATCACATAGTTAAGAAATTTTTCCAAGCTCGATTTTAATTCAAAATCTGACTTAATAGCAAGAGGGAGGTTTACGCCAGCCTTAGATGGATTAGTGCAGCAACTGAAGGCCCGTACAGACGAGTTTTACAAAGTTGTGATCTACTCTTAATGAGGAAAGAACGGAAGAGGAATTTTATGTACAAATAATCTAACGTTACCAATTGGTGAGTCAAACTATTTTGGGCTTAATATTGAATTGATCAATGTGGTTGAATTAATGCAAGCCATTTGCCTTCATATTCAATTGAGCAGTGTGTTATTTTACTTCTGCTGACAGACATAATTTGTGCTCTTGTAAAAAAATTGAAAATCTGAAACGTCACAGATAGAGGCCGCTAAAAAATACATATAGCACCTTTAAGTTTTGATTTCGGCAGCAACATTGAGATTGTAGGGTCAAAATTGGGCATAAACAACATTAAAGCATAGATCCATCTTGCCTTTTATAAATGGTTCAAGCTGGTGGTGAAATGGTGTGAGGGATATTTTCTTGGCACACTTTGAGCATCTTACTACTAACTTGTTTAAACGCCACAGCCTAGTCTTGTTGCTTACCATGTCCATCCCTTTATGACCACAGAGTACCCATATTCTGATGGCAACTTCAAGCAAGATAATACACCATTTCGCAAAGCTCAAATCATCACAAAATTAGTTTCTTGAACATGACAATGTTCACTATACTCCAATGGCCACTATATCTGGTCATAGTGACCAGATATGAATTCAATAGAGTATCATGGTGGAACAGGAGATTTGCATCATGGATGTGCAGCCAAAAAATCTGCAGTAACTCACTATGGACCAAAATATAATAAATAGGAATGTTTCCATGAATCTCTGACACAAAGAATTAAGGCAGTTCTAAAGGCAAAAAGGGTTCCAACATGTTACTAGCAAGGTGTACCTAATAAAGTGTCCAGTGAGTGAATGTATAGCCTACTGTATATAAATAGCCTACAGTGTGTGTGTATTATATATATATATAAAACTACAACATATGAAATATTCTACCAACACACATGGCACCCTTTAGCGTCAAATGAGACGCAGATATATATGGGGCAGAGGGCACCTCCTAGTGGTCTAACCCTAACCCTACCCCAGACCTAAACCTACCATAACCGAAGCGTCTCATTTGACGCTAAAGGGTACCATGTGCGTTGGATGTCTACGCTTTGGCAAAAGTGTCGTATATGACGCCGGATGAGAATACGTTGGTCTTTTGGTAGTGTAGATTTCCTTGAATACCACAAGTACAAAAAATGCCAGGTTGCAGGCAACCTGTAACCTGTGTTATTCCAAACTTATACCCGTGAAATTCATGTACCACCTGCAGAAACACTGCATCCATAGGGGCTGCCATGTTGTTTTGTGCGTTTTGCGGGCTTACGGGCTATGTGATGTCAGAGCTCGTAACTGGGAGTACATCGATCTAGTGCGAGTTCACGGATGGGAAGTCACGGGTTTGATTGCCTTTCCAGTGGGACAATATAACATTGCAGTCAAATTAATAATATAATGATAATAATAATAATAATGATGATAATAATAATAATAATCATGATGTATTACAGTGTTATGTGTCTGAAACAATAAGTATGTTATATTGCGGTTGTTTGGCGTGTCGTGAGTCATGGTTTGAAGCCGTGATTTACGTGCTCAAAAGCCTGCCTGGAACGCAGCAAAAGAACACTAGAAATTTCAGTCTATTGGGAGTTCATTCGGAGATAAAGACTAAATTGTCAGGATGTATTAATAAACCTTCAGTTAATTTAAAATAAATTGTTGAAGCTGTTTGTAATTAGTGTTTTATTTGAGTTTAATTATTTAAAGTTGTGTATTTGTTTATTATTAATATTACTATGTGCATATTTAGATTTGTATTTATAAACCATTTAGTTCATTATTGTTCACATTTCGGGTTGTAGGAATGTATTTCACTGCAAATGTATGGGCAGGGGGAGGAAGAGAGAAGGAAGAACAAATGTTTGGATTTGGGTCATGGTGAGAACTCACAGTTATGTCAAATACCTATAATTATTATTATTTTTAATTATAATTGACATTACTTTATTATTTGCATCTCCAAAATCAACTTTATATTAGCTACACGTGTTGTGGTCTCTGGTTCAGGTCTCAAAGAACTCTTTCAGTTTCGAAGTGCCTTTCACCATGTCCACCTTCCCGTAAGATATACTGTATGTACAGAGCTGTTGAGTACTTTTCCATCCTTACAAATCCTGTGATATTTTTCTGCTTGGCATTACAGCACATAGACTTTTGCATAAGACAGATGAAATTCCCCAACACGCATTCAACAAAAATTGCCTTATGATAGTGATAGAGATACAGTGTATATGTCAAACACAGCTCACAGCTCACTAACTATAATTAGGAGAAGGACTTCTGGGCTCAACTGTCACCGCTGAGTCACTTAGCTTTCTAGGAATCATTATTTCTTAGAAACTCAGATGGGAAGATATTGTCTTCATTGCTAAAATTGCATAAATGTGTGGTATGGGTTAGTCACAACATGAGATGCCAGCAAATTGTACTTTCACTGTAAAAAGAAAAATTAGTGTATAATTTTAACTGTACAATATTGTAAAGGGGAAAACTGTAAAAGATCCAACTGGAGATTATCAAATTATAATTTACAATAAAAAAACCTGTAAACTGACATTCCCAGACTTTCCAGTGTGACACTTCAGATTTGAAAGTATTTCATTTAAGTAATTGTTCCGTAATTGTTTTGATCAGTTATGCACATTTGGGATTTATGTTACATCTTCTGTTGTTTATTAAACGTTTATTACATTAGCCTACTTTTTCATGTGTCGTGTGTTACCGTGATGTTGTTTTGTGTTTGCGACTCTATAATTGAACTTGTGGAAAGGATACTTCTGGAGATTCTTCATGTGGCTTTCTTTTTAATAGGCCTAACCCCTATAGATTTTAGTAGCAGTGTGCATTGTGGATTTACCGGTTTAAATGGCATTTTTGTTCTAAATTACAGTTTTATACTGTAACATTTACAGGCTGTTCTGTAAATATGTCGACATTTATACGGTATTTTTATTATTTATTAATATGCATTTACTGTATTACTGAATTATTCCTTTTAACCACAGCTGCCATGGATTCTTTTCATTAAAACAACAGGATTTTTTTTCAGTGTGGCTAAGAAAATCATTAGCTACTGTCTGCCCAATTGAATCAATATTCAAGAAGCAGGCAGTCAAAATAATCAACAACTCCTTGCACAAGAACATTTGTCAGCTGGTGCCTTCAAAGAATATATTGAAAATTTTAAATACTTGGCTGCTGTTTATTTTTTATTTTTTTAGCTAAGCTTTCAGACACTTTTTAAACTTTATGCATGCTGATGGGTTGGGGTTTTAAACTGTATAACACCCACAGAAGCAGAAACATGAGCGGCACAAACTGAAGAGAATCATCAATGATTCAAAGACAATCATCATGGCTGTTTCTCTCTCTCTTTCACTAACATGCATATTAACACGAAGATGACATTGTACTTCATAAGAACTGTGAACTTTTGGTAGGAAACTATTTTAAAAGTTTTATTTTTGTGCTAGAAACGTTATGTGTTTATGTCATAAACTGTGATTTTGAGATTCTCTATTGTAGGATGTTAACATTATACAATAAGGTTTCATTTGTTACATTTGTTAACAGCATTAGTTGACACTTTACTTAGCCTACAACAAAAAATTACTTTTAGCCAGCCAAAAATGGTTACCAGATATTATACAGAATAAAGAAAAATTATTTTTTTGTTGTAGGCTACGTAAAGTGTTTTGTAAGTCTATTTTAAGACTGACAAACAAATTTATTAACAAATATAAATGTTAGTTCGTGTTAGTAATACATTAACTAATGAGTCCTTTTTGTAAAGTGTTACCAATGAACTTTTAAGAAGTTTTGTAAACTGCATAACCGAACAACTATAATCCTCGAAATTGACGTCAAAGGTAGAATGATGATGTTATCTTCAGGAGTGGTCAATGACTCCGTGAGTTTTTATCATAACAGCTCTGCCTAAACGGAAGCGCTGTGCCTACGCTCCTCAAATGCAAATATACCTGTGTCGAAAGAGCAAACGACACACCTGACGCTTCCCAGGGGATCTGGAAGGCCGAAGTCTCTATTGTTCTAAAGCGTTTACTGTGCCATGGCTCGACCACTCCCTGCAGTGACTGTGAATTGAGGTTTCGCATATCCCGCCCTCCCCGGAGTTCTGATACACAACGCCTCATCTCATAGCCTTTGGGAAAACCACCTCGCCTGTTGTGGCAAACGGGCAGTTTTAACCGGTCAACACCGTTTGTGGATTTATGTAAAAGTGTCAGAGGCTCGGGAGATTGAGGGTAGGTGAATTTCACATACATTAGGACACCGAATTTACCGGGTTCACCTGTACAGGTAAGCGGCGAAGGGCGGCGTTTCCTTTTAGAAACAGGTGTTACGTGCAACATTGTGAGCGCGGATAAATTACCCTTCGCTATTTGCACGAAGATTAACCTCAGGTGTGTCATTTGTGTTGTTTTGTGGTCGCGCTGCTCCTGCATGTTTTTTTTTTTTTTGTTTGTTTTGTTTTTTAAATATGATCAAGTAGGCTACCCGACACATGATATCTTTAAAATAGTTTCCAGAGGACCGAGAAATAAGTAAGCGTTTGGGACGAGATCTTAAGATTTACCTGATCACTTTTACCAGCCCACTTCATTAATATTTAACTGTCCAGTATAGTTTAGCAGGGGGCACCTTGCAGTAAGACTGACGTTCAACTTCTGATGATCATCAAATGACGTGTAATCTGTGAAATGCCTTAGCTAATGACATTTACAAAATAGTCTAGTTTATATTTGGCTCTTTTCTGGGTAAAAAGAAAATAAATGTACACACTGTAGAAAATTTCAACCCTCCCAACTCAAAATGCTCTGGTCACATAGGGCCTATAAATTTTTCAATTGACCCAAGTGAAATTCTATAAAGTGGTACAATTTAATTTGCCAAATTTCACTTGGGCCAGTTAAAAAATGTAAATGTGACAATGCACTCATAGGTTAGAATTTTTTACAGTGCATGGGTCAATGACAGATAAGGATGTCCAAGGTGAGATATAGCCTACACACAAAATAATTGATAGGCCTACTAAAGACGCCAAATCGTGTAACCAATAAAACGTGCTAAAACCCTTTGCTTGCACTCTGGATAAGCACAAATATACACAAAATTCATTCACATTATTTTAAAGATATATTCAGACCAAATGTGCAACCCCCAGCATGGCCAGCTTGGTGAATGAAAGCATAAATGTGCTAATATTCTGCCTTGCACAGCTTACAGTTTCTCTGTAATCTCTGTAAAACGGATATCATGTAAATTACATCATTCAGTCCCCACTTCAGTACTGGGTGAGTGGCCCATTTGGATTTCATGTATGTAAAAGAGTGTCCTGTGATGTAAGGTAATTCAAAATAATAATCTCACTCATCCAGCATTTTCATTCATTTTTTTTCCATCTTGTCAGAGCAGTATCATTTAAAGTGCATATAAGCATGTGCACATGTGCAGTGGGGGGAGGGAAGATCCTGTTTGGCCAGTTTAATGTCTCTTGTCATGAGTGCCAGTTGTTTAGACTTTACCTTAAAATCTTCTGTTGTGATACTGTAACCTGTTTATATGTTGTTCAATTCTAGTGAAAACCACTAGTATGATCAGAAATGGTGTGATGGTAGAAGTCTAATGTGGCTGTTTTTTTTGTTTTTTAAATTATTTTGGTGTATCATTTTGTTTTGGGCAGAGATTTGTCTTTCAATCTCTGTGAGATATTATTTTAATACTAAACAAACTGATCTGTTTATAGTGAAATTAAGATTTACTGTAAGATACAATCAGCTGTTCCTCTTGTGAATAGAGGACATATTTACTTTGAAAAGGATGTGGTCTAGCAGGTTTTTCATTTCTTTGCATAGTAAAAAGTATTCGAATTTCGAACTCGCCAACCACACGCAAAGCATCCATTAGCCAATCGCTTGTTCTCACTAACGTCATTCTTTCCAGGCATGTGTCTTCTTTAGTGGGGTCTTTAGCTGGGGTTTGTTGACAACATTAAACCCTGAACTTGTTGTTAAGTTGCAAAGTCTTTTTACTAAGCTCCAGGTCCTGCTGGAATGCGGTTGTTACTGGACATTTGTGGTATGTCAGTTGTGTGACCTTAGTGAAACATTAGAGATTTAGATCAAGCTCATTTGTTACCTAATTTAGCAGAACATGGACTTGCCACGGTACCTTTTGTCCATGCTTATTGCATCAAAAACAAAACAAAATAAAAAGCAAAGAAAATATGATGTCTACAGTTTATTTAACCTTGCTTAATGAATATAAAAATGATTTTTGCGCATGAGCAGGGAAATCCCCCATTGTGGTTAAAGAAATACAAGCCTAAACAAGAATTCAGTCTAATCACACTTTGATTCATTGTCTAGGTATTCATTAGCCCTTATCAGATAGCATGGTGGTCATAATGTGTCACCTGTCTGTAATGCACTTAATGTGACTTCATGTCTTGAAGGCATGTAAAACGGCATGGTGATATCATCAAGGTGTGTTTGCTTTTATAGATAAACTTTCCCCGACCCAAAGTATGTTTAAATGCTTCAATCTGACACATGCACTTTTTAAATGCAATATGCAGTGTTTCTCTCAAATGTTACTCTTTCTGTTTAATGAATAGATGAAGAAAGAGTTGGGAATGGTTTGTTCTAAATCACAAATGCCCTTCAGTATTATAATGTTTTCATAAAAGTTTGCAGGTGTTAAAGGAGCAATGTGTGATTTTTAGCGACATCTAGTGGTTGGGTTGCGAGTTTGCACCAGGTTTGCACTAAGGGCTCAGCCCACTGCTCACCCCTCCCTTTCGAAGAAGCTACGGTTGCTAAAACGGGACAAACATCTCGTCGGCTGAGACAGCAGAGAATAGCCAGAGTAAGCCAAGAGTGTGTAACATTGTCACTGTTTCTGTACCACAGTCCATTATAAACCACATCATGGATACTGTTTACAAAGCTATAGTCAGGTGAGGATCAAGGGTTTTAATATATAATTTAATATAATAATAGTAATCAGCTGATTGTCTCACAAACGTAACCAGCAGCACATTTCTCCACACATACTGTAGCAAACCCATAATACAGCGAGGGAGAAGCTATATATTTTTTCTAACAGGGTAGTAATAGTTTAGCTGGCTAATATGAGCTGTTACTGTGGCTGAGCTGGGACGCGTCTGCATGAGTCCAAAGGTCGGAAGTGCGCGCGCTGTTACAATCATGTCATCTCCGCATCCCATAGATACTATTTACTACACACAATAGGCTTTTTTCTCTGATTTTGAAAACTCTTCGTGATCGACTTTAGTGATCTAAAAGTCTCTATCGACGGGTTAGTGATTCCTGTAACGTACTGTTTTACGGTCAATGACATGACAATGACAATCATCAGCTGTCTCACGAACGTAACAGCACATCTATCCCCAACATAACAAACCCATAACACAGCGAGGGAGAACTAAGTTACATGAAACAATCCCAACTACATATTTTACACCACTCACAAGGGAAAAGTCACTACTCACGGAGTGTAAGGCTAGCTTCCAGCTTTCCGCTACTTCTCTTTCAAGGTAGTGATGAAACGCGTTCTGTAGCACTGTTTGTTCGCGTTCGGCTACGGTAGGAATATGACGTCACAACATGGCGACCTTCATAGAAGGGGATTCCCGCGGTTATGGAGCTATTAATGTCTCATTCTAAGGTAATAAAAACATTACGGTTAATTAAGTAAGTTCTTTATACACCACTGAAAACATAGTTATGGATGTCATATTGCATTTCTGTTAATAGATACTCAACTTTTTCACACATTGCACCTTTAACCTGCTGTACATGACAAAACAAATTCATATTAGTCCAAATTTTGGCTGTGGCTTCAAAACATGGGTGTATTTTTCACTTGTTATTAAGGACTTTGGAAGGCAGTTTTGAGATATACCGATAACACGTTTTTATTTTCATTAACTTTTTTGACTGGACCGATAGGGCTAATTATAATGTAATAACAACAGTAATCACCAGTATAAGTATAAGTGCATGTTATGTTTTTATTGTTGTAGTTTAATGATCATTTAGTGATTATTATGTCAAAAAGCAGTATCGTATCTATCGTATAATTGATTTTATATGCAGATTAATGCGTTATAAAAATCACTTAATTATAGTAGGCTATGGAAAATAAGTGATAGTGATCAAGAGAATACATTTACATTAGGCTTTTTTATGTGGCAGCAAAGACAACAGTGTAATCACATTATCAGGTTTTATCGTTCATCTCAACGTTTTCCATGTGTTAATAGCGAATGCTTCTCCTTTCTGATGGGCAGGAAACCTGAACCATCCATTAGTAACACAAGCTATGATGTTGCTAGGGTACAGTTCGACTTTGGTATGGTTACCATGGCAACCGTAAACAGTCTGGTATAAAAAAAGTTGTAATAGTGATAGCCCACCTGAAACTGAGAGAGCTAAATGGTGGAAGGGTCACGGTAAACAACAGCCGTCATTTAAAGGCAAGAGAAATGGGAAATTTACCCCAACAGCTGGCTTATATGGTTGGGGAAACATAGCCTAGCTCTGAAAGTCTTCTTGTTCTCACAATTGAAGCTTTACTGTATCTGAACACCACTAAACACCTGTTTGTTACAGGTAGGGCTTTCATCACACTTGACTTGAACATGTTTTATTATTCAAGGACAATCTTTCTGTATATTTGGTAACAGAGCGGTTTGTAAATCTTAAACACAATAGCAATATAGCTTCTACTGACAGGGACATTGCTCTTGTTTTTAGAGTGGATATTTCTGTGCAGGACACTGTTGATTTAGTGATCTGAGGAAAGAGAATTGTGGCGAACCTCATTTGTATGAACAAATGAGCTAAATAAAGGTACAATAGTTTGAAAGTTGCCCAGATCACACAGGGACCTGTCCACCTTAGAAACGGAAAAAAAGCCCTCTTTCTCATTACCTTTTTGTTCTTGCCTCTTGATTTACCTTTGTGTGCATCTTTGTCTTTCTCCCCTCCCACAATCACACACACCTTTTTATTGGATCCCCAGGCTCATGACCTGCTGAAGGTTCTGTTCTTTAATTAAGGTGTGAGACTAAAGCGAGGCTAAAGATGACAGATGAGAACACCAAAGCCTTAGGGAATGTTTAAACCTATTAAGTCATGCAGCCATTTTCTGAGAACCATGTGCTAAATTGGTCATTTTTGTTGATTTATTGTATTTCTAAGGCTCAAATGACTTTGTTCTGACATGTAATTAGCATCTTATGACTTAGAGGTATGAAAGTTTTAAAGGAATAGTTCACACAAAAATGAAAATTTACTCACCCTCAAGCTATCCTTGGTGTAACGTTATGACATTCTTCTTTCAAGAGAGAGTCGAGATCCAGGCGGAATGGTGACCCCTGACCTGATGTAGGAAGTATGACGTAGTCATAGCATAAGATTAGGTGATAACTGACTTACGAGGAAGCGCACATGATCAAAACAAAACGGCAGTTTGCTTTTAAATAAACATTCTGAAATATAATTCTTCCAAATGTTAATTTGGTTAAGAAGAGTTTAGGGAAACTTAATTATTAATAGTTCTAAGGATAGAATTTGAAAAAAACAAATAGAACTTGGGTACAACCCATGCATTTTAGCGTAGTTGGGAGCACAAGGAGGCTATTTTTTGTGAAATATGTATTTGGTAAATGACTTGTGTGAGTGTGTATGTTTACAGATTACACAATGAACTTTGGTCATTATAGTAGAGGAAACAATCTACAGAGTGTCATAGGCCCACACATACAACCTCAGTCATGATGCACATTTGCTCTGACACAGAGTACACAGTGTTTGTCTTGGTTGTGCTGGTTGAATCAGCCACTGACTCTAAATGCTATCCCTTTGATGATTTAGAATTGAGAAAATCTGCACTTTTATAACTATGCAAAGGCTTTGTTATGGAGCTGTGATTCAGGCAAATGGTCAGAGCTCATCAAATTTACAAACACAGTCAAAAAAGGAACAATCATGAACAATAACAGTTGATAAGTGTTTTTCCAGCACTTCAGCTTTGGCCCATGCAACGGTACAGATATTGCTATTTTGAGCAATTAATTATGTAAACAATATCCTGGTCATTCTGAGGCTACATTAAAAATATGTAGCCTCAGGCTACTTTAAATGAACTCAACTCAATTATGGATTGTGGTTTCACATAATGGAAAACATGTTTTCTTTACTCAAATACTTCATGTATTATTATGAACTGAGTAACCTGTCCAAAAAATGTTTCAATCAAGTTCATCCTACCTAAAGTATTTGAGTAGAAATAACTATAAGATAAAGAAATCATTTTTCAATCACGTGGAACCACTGTCCATGATCTAATTGAGTTCATTTAAAGTACGATATTTTTGAGGATAGCTGATAATAACAACACATAACAAGCTCAACTTAGCTTTCCTTGTTGGGTGTTGCATCATGGTTATATCCATGGCATTCTTATAGCAGTGGCTTATTTTATTAAAACAACTCAAATTCTTGTTAGCGGGTCCCAACCAAACACATGTTCTACACATCACCAATGGTGTCTCCCTATACAGAAACTCTTTAAAATACCAGCATAATAGAACATTAAACATTAACAAGTCTCCCCATTTTATTATCTTGATTAAAAATGCATAAATATCACTTAATTTCATTGTTTAATCTTCCTATCCAGTACTGTGCAAAACATGAAGGGGAAATCCTGTTATTTTCGATAATGCTACTTTGACACAACTAAAGTCATTCATGTAATCTTAACTCAAATGGAAGTGAAGTGGTTAAACTTATGAAATTAAGTTGTGAGAACATCTTGACAGAATGATGTTGGATTAACTTGTTTTATTTAAGTAAATTGAACAAGCAGCTACATTTATTTTTGATCTACTTGATAGAAACATGTTCTTTCAAAATTAAAACATTGAGTTAGCCTCAAATCAGTTAAAGGGTTAGTTCACCTAAAAAATGAAAATTCTGTCAGTAATTTCTCACCCTCGTGTTGTTCCAACCCCGTAAGACTTTCGTTCATCTTCGGAACACAAATTAAGATATTTTTGATTAAATCTAAGAGCTGGATCACTCCTTCATAGGCGTTTCTAAAGGGATCTAGACTGGCCGGCCCAAAAGTTATGAAAGATATTGTTAAAATAGTGATTACAGTGGCTCAATCTTAAGTTTATTAAGTGACGAGAATACTTTTTGTGCGCAAAAAAACCAAAAACGGCTTTATTCAACTATTCATTTCCTGCCCTGTGGGCCTCGAGATTTCACTTAGTGAAACTGCGCAAAGCTTATAGGTTGCATGTCACATGTAGGCTCACTATTGGCCGACGCTGGTCATGTGTGTGATGCGTGTGATGTATAATCTAGAAGCTTTGCGCAGTTTCACTAGGTGAAATCTTAAGGCCCACAGGGAAGAAAATGAATAGTTGAATAGGCCCAAAGTCATTATTAGGGGCCAAGCACTGAAGTTGCGAAGTCACCGATTGTATCTGTTCTGGTTCTTATTATTCTTCTTCTGTTTCTACTTCTTCTTCTTCCGACTGGGCGTCTATGGCAGCCCATAGAACCGTTTGCGGGAAAGTTGTTTGGTTTGACATTGTGATAGAGGACAGTCCCGACATTAAACACACCAATTTTGGTGTCTCTAACTCATTGCCTTTAGCACCACCACCTATCCAAAATTTCACTTATATTATGCTAATAACTTTTGAACAGTAACACATATTATGCTAATAACTTTTGAACAGTAACAAATATTATGCTAATAACTTTTATCAACAAAAAAAAAACCTACTTTTGCGAACTCGTCCTAGACGGTTTGTCCGATTTTCACCAAAATTGCACCAGATCATCTTCAGGCAGTGCCTACAACAAGTTATGGAATTCAAGTTGATTCGTCAAACTGTTTTTTTTTTCCCCATAAATGTCTATAACTCTGAGATATTTTCACCAAAATTGACACACATATGTATGGGCTCACTCCGAGGACACATAAAAGCCTCTGAGCCTCTTGGTGGCGCTGTAATAGAACAAAACGTTAAATTATTGACATAATTTTCATTTTTGGGTGTACTAACCCTTTACGTTACCCTCAAAACACCATGCTACTATGTTTGATTTTGAAACAATGCTGTTAAATTAAAAAATAATTTTTTAAATAAAGTGAAAAGTATCAAGTAAAATAAAGTAAAAAATAGTGTAGTATGTTACACAAAAGACTAACTATAAAACTGTTCAATCAATCATTGTTTTGTGATAACAATTCCACTATAATGCTAACAGAAGACCAGTTTGGAAATAGAATTGGTTAGCATTGCTAATGTTGCAACAGGACTCAGTTATGCTGTCATGGATGCTAACACAAAGTATTGATTTGTGTTATTGCTCAGTACAAGGGTTAATGATAGACAAAAGAGTCACTAATAATGTTTTCTTTCTTTCTTTCTGCAGACATGAAGCCTTTTTTCCTGCTTGCCACATTATTGTGGTGTTTAGCTGCAAATTTCTCCTGGGCAGCTAAGATAGTGGTAGTTCCTCCAATTATGTTTGAGAGCCACCTGTATATATTTAAGACCCTTGCCTCTGCTCTCCATGCTGAGGGCCATGAAACAGTTTTCCTGGTTTCCGAAGGTCGGGAGATCCCACCTTCCAACCATTATCGTCTCCAGCGCTACCCTGGAATCTTTAACAGCACCTCAGCTGATGACTTCCTCCAATCAAAAGTTCGCAACATCTTTTCGGGGCGTCTCACAGCACTGGAGTTGTTTGATATCCTAGACCACTATTCTCAAAACTGTGATGCCGTTGTTGGGAGTGCTTCTGTCATGGAACAGCTAAAACGTGAAAATTTTGATCTGCTGCTTGTTGATCCCAATGAGATGTGTGGATTTGTCATTGCTCACATCCTGGGTGTCCAGTACGCCGTATTCAGTACAGGATTATGGTACCCTGCGGAAGTTGGGGCGCCAGCACCTCTGTCTTACGTCCCAGAATTTAACTCTCTACTAACGGACCGTATGTCTTTGTTGCAACGGGTAGCTAACACAGCAGTGTACCTGGTTTCCAGGTTTGGTGTCCAGTTCCTGGTTCTACCTAAGTATGATCGCATCATGAGGAAGTACAACATCCAGCCATCGGTGTCCATGCACGATCTGGTTCAGAACAGTCGACTTTGGATGCTGTGTACTGACCTGGCACTGGAGTTCCCACGACCCACTTTGCCACATGTTGTCTATGTTGGGGGCATCCTTACCAAACCCCCCAGCCCCTTGCCACAGGTAAGAAACCAATGGTTTTAAATTTAAAAGATTCTCTAAACATTGCTATGTTACTCCAACTATTTTAGTGTCATGACTTTTAGGGATACACAAGATATTGGTACCATAATAGGGTGGCCCAGTATTTCACAGGACAACAAAATTTAAAAGCAAACAACAAATTTTGTGGTCTTAACCATATCCGATAAACCTAACCCTACCCATAAGGTTATCCCTAAAATCAGAGGCAAATTATAGGTGAATAACACTGATGGAGAAGCGCAAAACCCTGATTGTAAACCGAAATTTGACATAAACTGTAAACTTGTTCCTCAAATCTGATTGGTTGATTGGAATGTTGTTCCAAAATCAACAAAGATTTTGATCCAGGAACATGTTGCACTTGGTGAAATCTGGTTCTGCATTAGAGTTGAATGAGCCAAGCCAGAATACTAAACACAGAACATTTCATAGTGATATTTCTTGGCGACCATAGAGGGTGCATTAATGTTAAAATTCTGGCTTGATACTAGAGGTAGGCTAATGATTTAATGAAATCCAAATTTTGAACAGTTTTCACTATACCAGTACCTGGTTGAGAAAGGAACGTTGTGCGATGGCTTGGTTCCATTGTGTCATGGCTTGAATTTGCTATGTTGTGGCTTATGTTAACTTATGGTTTTAATTTTTTCATTGTGTTATGCACTGCTGAGCCACCATAGATAGCATTTACTGTCAGAGAAATTAATGCTGCGCCAAGTGTGACGCAATCGCTTTATATGATGAACAGATTCAATTCAGTGTTTTATTCACATATAAACATTCATCAACACACACACATCAACATCATTGGTGGTAAACGGAAGCTCAAGCAAGTTGACTTGATGTGCAACTATTGAGGTTCATTCTTGTGTGTAGAGCTTCCACAAAAACCAATGAGGTTTGTTCTCGCACACCAAGCAGGTTCGGTTGAGCTTCTATTTATATTCGCTGATCAATGTGAAAATGTGAATGAAAGCCTAAATTCAGTCTGTTCATCATATAAAGCATTAAGTCTCTTCAGAAAATGTGGACTACACTGCATATATATGCATTAGTTTTACAATCTCTTTATGAACTTTTTAAAGCGTCAAAGGTGTAGTTCCACAGCTATAAATGGAGAGACAGAAATCGCTCAGATTTCATTATAAATAATTATGTTCATTTGTGTTACGAAGATAAATGAAAGTCTAATGGGTTTGGAAAGACATGAGTAATTGATTTGGGGGATCATTTTTGGGCGAACTAACCCTTTAATCCCTATCGATTTAGTTCTGGAAAGATGAAGGAGGCTCAGATTTAAATGCCATTTTTTTTCATCTTTTAGTGATATACTGGAAAACCATAATATTGAAATTTGTGCACCTGCCATCACCACATTTAATTAAGGCAAAAATAAGATAACACCATATGCTACTCACAACAAGTTACAAAAATATTAAATACCAACACGTGTTTGTTTGCTCCTCAATCGACTGTTAGGATACATTACAAAGTAATGTACTGAGCACATGCAGTGCTCAGTTCATGAATGCCAATAAAATTACGTCATGATGCGATCGACTGACGCATGAACCTCATTTTCATTTTAAGATCTTCAGCCTAACAAATGCCACAACCCACTCCCTCTAACAAGTGACCTTGGTCCGCCTTATTCATTAGGCTTTATGTGGTGAAAATGTGCAAACATTTTTTTTTTAAATATAGTGTATGCAAGTCATTATTATGTTCAGTCTCATTTCACCCGTAATTATATTAAGTTTTGATTTTGCCACCAGGGCGTTATGCTCACAAAGGTCGTTCTTATCAATGCGGGTGATTGCGTGGAGCTGTCCATTGAATAGGAGTGGGGGTTCTAAACCTAAGCTTGCACTGTTGGAATACCAAGCGCCCAAATGGCCTCATTGTATGCTGTTGCGCCATAATGCAAATAGACAGAGTCAGTGCAGAGTGTGTGTGTGTGTGTAAATGTGCCCATTGTCGGGTGTGTATGAAGGACACTGAGACCAGTGTGAGGGGCGGACAGTTAGTGCCAGGCCAATGCAGGCTGTTCAGCTGCAGCTGGACTGCTTCAGACAGCAAGAAGGTTCTTACACAAAAAACATGCTCATTCTGAGGCTATGCTAACTGCTAACAAAAGGCTGAGTCTCATTAGTAATATAATTTTTTTTGTGTGCTAACAATTGCACTGTAGTGCCAACAATGCACTTTTATCTTACCATAATTCACTTTCAGTATGATTTGCTAATATTGTAATAGGCCTCAGTCAAGCTTTCATAGATGCTAAGATGATAACACAAAGCTCATTCAAAAAATGCCAGATAAAAATATGATATTAAAGCAATGTTTAATATAAAAATCAAAAGCCTAATCTTCAAAATATGAATCTCCAAAATATTTGGCTGGAGTGAGACTGTAAAATTTCAGTGTGAGAATTTGATTTGTTGAGCAATTAGCTAGCCCACATAACGCACGTCAGACAACGTTTGCAACTATAGTTGAAGTCTGGCCAGATAGCACACGTACATCTGCAAAATGTCTGTTAAAGATCACTTTATCTGGAAAGCTGCTATTTACTAACATCTGTTAGACATCTTTAAGATGTCAAAACATCTTCTAAACGTCTATTTGACATCTGACATCCTATAAACGTATTGCAGATGAGCAAACTCTCTAAAAAATTTGTCTTCCAGATGTAAACGCACACTTCAAATAGACATCTCTGTGATGTACGTGTACTATCAGGGTGTACTCTCGGCACGCAGACTGATAAGGCAAGGCTACATCACTAGTGACAAGGCACACCATTGTATTATCTGCTTCCCTTTATTGTCATTCAAACTTTCAAACGTGCATCAGTGAGCTCCGACTCCGAACCTAGGCTCTGAACCCTCTCTGAACTTTAAACACGCAACTGACATATCAGATGCAAGGTTTTCAGCGAATCAACAATCAGAGAATACTGTGAGAAAGATATTGTTGGCAGATGTTACAGTTGCAGCTGTGGGCCTTACACTCCTCTCATTAATATGCTGTGGTCTAGTCATCAACAGAAAATTAACGGATTGGGACAAGAGAAAAAATTATTTTGGCGTGACAATTCTTGAGTGTGCGTGAGAGCGTGAGATTGATGCTGAAACACCAGTGAGTGTCACACCAGAGAGCTTGAGAGTTGCCATTATATTTTGAGATGTAAATTTGTTTAAATAATTTGTGTGTGTGTGTCTGTGTGTGTGTGAGTGTGTGTGTATACATACTTTTCTAGGTGGATGAACTTCTGGTTATGTTTGGTCCATGTAAACAGTGCTTTGCAGATTTAACTCCCTGTCCCTTTTCTGGTAACTTCTGGCGTGACTAGGTTAAGTTACTAGGTTACTGATATGATGTCATCAATAGGTTCACAAAGTTAAAAGATTGAATACATATGTACATAAACCGTCTCAGTAAATATTCATTAGTAAATGACAATGTTGTAAATTAGTAAAGGTGACTTGATTTGACATTAGTCATATGTAATATGGCTATAATTTTAAAACAGTGTCTGCTTAAATGTCTATCACTGTATACAGGATTATTAGGAACACCATACTAATACTGTGTTTGACCCCCTTTCACCTTCAGAACTGCCTTAATTCTATGTGTCATTGATTCAACAAGGTGCTAAAAGCATTCTTTAGAAATGTTGGCCCATATTGATAGGATAGCATCTTACAGTTGATGGAGATTTGTGGTGCACATCCAGGGCACGAAGCTCCCGTTCCACCACATCCCAAAGATGCTGTATTGGGTTGAGATCTGGTGACTGTGGGGGCCATTTTATCCATTTTAGTACTCATTGTCATGTTCAAGAAACTAATTTGAAATGATTTGAGCTTTGTGACGGTGCATTATCCTGCTGGAAGTAGCTATCAGAGGATGGGTACATGGTGGCCATAAAGGGATGGACATGGTCAGAAACAATGCTCAGGTAGGCCGTGGCATTTAAACGATGACCAATTGGCACTAAGGGGCCTAAAGTGTGCCCAGTGGTAGGGATGATGGATCCATGTTCTCAGTCTGTTTATGCCAAATTCTGACTCTACCATCTGAATGTCTCAACAGAAATCGAGACTCATCAGACCAGGCAACATTTTTTCCAGTCTGTCCAATTTTGGTGAGCTCTTGCAAATTGTAGCCTCTTTTTCCTATTTGTAGTGGAGATGAGTGGTACCTGTGGGGTCTTCTGCTGTTGTAGCCCATCCGCCTCAAGGTTGTGCGTGTTGTGGCTTCACAAATGCTTTGCTGAATACCTCGGTTGTAACGAGTGGTTATTTCAGTCAAAGTTGCTCTTCTATCAGCTTGAGTCAGTCGGCCCATTCTCCTCTGACCTCTAGCATCCACAAGGCATTTTCGACCATAGGACTGGCACATAATGGATGTTTTTCCCGTTTCACACCATTCTTTGTAAACCCTAGAAATGGTTGTGCGTGAAAATCCCAGTAACTGAGCAGATTGTGAAATACTCAGACCGACCCATTTGACACCAACCATGCCACGCTCAAAATTGCTTAAATCACCTTTCTTTTCCATTCTGACATTCAGTTTGGAGTTCAGGAGATTGTCTTGACCAGGACCACACTCCTAAATGCATTGAAGCAACTGCCATGTGATTGGTTGATTAGATAATTGCATTAATGAGAAATTGAACAGGTGTTCCTAATAATCCTTTAGGTGAGTGCATATATAGTATATTTACATAATTTACATTTTCATTTGTAATTCAAGCTTTCAGTTAGTGAAATTAATTTCAAAATTCACCACCAAAAATCACCACCATCTTCATTGTTATCATCTCTTAAGCTTTAGCCAAATGAAGGTTTTCTTTAATGACAGAACACATTTTTATTTAACAAAATGTCTGTGTGTGACACAACTGTAACATAAAATTGCAGTTTAAGTGCAGTCAATTTGGATCTGAACATTAGTGATACAGTATATCTTTTAGGCCTTACTTTGTGGTATTCTGGTTTAGGTGGCTTATTTAATGGTTAATGGTTGGTTAATATTCTGTGATTTTTTTTATGTATTTTACAGGGTTAGTTCACCCAAAAATGAAAATTATTCCATAATTTACTCACCCTCAAGCATAGGTGTATGTGACTATCTTCTTTCAGCAATCACTCCTCCGCCAGAACTAGACTCGCATACAGCCCTTACCGGAAGTCAGTGAATATAGTTTCTTAGGTTATAAATATGGATTAAAAAAAAAAATGATATAAAAACTTCAGAAGGCCTTTATTAACCCCCTTATGGATTACTTTTATGATGGATGGATGCACATTTTGGGCTTCAAAATTATGTTTTATTTACAAAGTTCGAGAGGAGCACATTCAGTTAATTAACAAGAATGGAGTGCACTCAACAATCAATGAGAAGAGGTGTATAGATTCAGCAATCTCACCTCACTCCATTGATAGTTTAGCAGGATCCCTCCACTGCCCCTTCTCCACTCTTCTAGTCCTAACCAGTTATATACAGTGTTGGGAGTAACGCATTACAAAAGTAATACATTACAGTAACATATTACTTTTTGCTGTAACGCAGTAGTGTAAGGCATTACTAATCAATTTTCAGTAATATTTTACTCGTTACATGTTCAGTGAGGCTTGTATTACAGTGTATTGTCTGCTTTTACTTCTTAAAGGCAACAGTATATGTGAAAGTTTTAAAGCAGTCTTTTAGTGCCAGTTCATCATAAATGCGAACACGAAAACTAAAATAAAATTAATATTTTAAGTTCTATGGAGACTGGAGAGCCAACCCTTCCTCATCCGATTTGCGCAGTGTAATTAACAGAATTACAAAAAATCGATTTTGCCTCCTATTTTTTTGTCACGCATGAATGTGTGTCTTTTCCCTAATATTAAAAATAAAACATACAGTAGACTGATATTTGCCTAATGTCTGGAGTCCTTTAAGGAAGTAGCCTATATACGTTTCAATACATGTATTTTCTGAGAATTTTTATTTCAAGTTTTGACTGCAAATATCATGTCCATAATGCTGGACTTCCCCAATTTTAAATAATTTATCCTCAACTAGTTTTGTGGTGTTGTTCTACGTATTTTATAATGTTAACTTCAAATAATACTAATAGCCTAATTTAAAGATAAGGCAGCATTGGATATGGACGGTAAGGAGAATAACGCTGGAGTTGGAAGAGGTGTGTCGCGAATCTGTAGTTTCGTGGATCTGAGTCGTGTGGCGAATCGCGATTTCGGTTTCATATTGCATATCGTTACAGCCCAAAAGTTAAGTTCTACTTAGTTATTTTGGTGAAAGTAACTCAAAAGTAATACATGAGTAATGTAACGCATTACAATTCTGAGACAGTAATATTGTAAGGTAATGAATTACTTTTAAATAACAGTAACAAGTAATACCTAATGTATTACAGTTTGGAAGTAACTTGCACAACACTGGTTATATAGAGGGGAATACTCTAGGTTCGGGCCAAACTCCGAGCTCGGAGCCCTCCCTCCCTCCGGACAGTACGCCAAATATGCATTAAATCTTATCCAAGAGTGAACTCATAAAATGTAAATGTACCCTTCACTCCCAGTTTAAAGCTTGGAGGAGCCCAGACATTTTTTATTACTTTGATTGTATTTGGCTAAAAGAAGGCATATTCACCTAGAATGGCTTGAGGGTGAGTAAATTATGGGATTTTCATTTTTGGGTGAACTAACCCTTATAAGTTTAATCTAAGTTATTTTAGTAAATTTCATATGCTTCCTCTTTTATTTACCCAGTGTTGGTTTTTAAAGCAGAACCATTTAAACCACGTTATATTCTCCAGATTGCTCTCTGTGGATGTGCTAAGATTGAATAAATCTGGTCCTTGAGCTAAAAAGAGTTTGACACACCTGGTCTAAAGCCTACTCAGCTTAAAAAATATTATATATATATATATATATATATATTATTTTTTTTCCATAGTAGTGACATTACAATTGCAACTATTTAAAATGGCATTTCTCTGTGGTTGACAAAATATGAAAAACTGGTTTTGAGAAATCTTATATGAATATTTCATGTTGAGGGATTCTATGGCAAAGGTAAAGTAGCTTGAGATATATCCACACCTTAAAACGATTTCATCTTATGATCAAAATTTTTCACTTGTTTAGAATTGAAAGTTGAAAGTTAGTTTTGTCCCTACTTTATCAGACTGTGAAACAATGATGTAACAGTGTTAGGTTTATTTAGTCATATAAAATTGTGATTTAGAGTCAAATGAAACTTTTTTGATTTATATACCATCCTTTGAAATGTTCGGTCTGGCTTTTGCTTTCTGTGCAATGTTGAATTGCTTTGTCTTGTGAATATAGTCATCACAAATTTCATAGATGGACTGTTGACCTGTGTTGTATTTGATCTGTATGTGTACAGGAGTTTGAAACCTGGGTGAAGAATACAGATGAACATGGTTTCGTGGTGGTGTCGTTTGGTGCGGGAGTGAAGTATCTGTCAGATGACATTGCTCAGAAACTTGCTGGAGCCTTGAGCCGTCTACCCCAGAGAGTCATCTGGAGGTACTGCCATTCATTCCTTCATTCAAGTGATCGGTGGACCATTTTACCAACAGATCAAGTCCCCTGCGTATCATTCCATTAAAGTTTTTTCTATCACAAAGTATCTATTGGCAACTGATGTGGTGGCAGGTTACTAATAAGTCTGTGGCTACAACTTCCAAACCAGTAAACCCTCATTAAAAAATGATCTGATGGTTTGTTAGACTTTCCAAAGGTTTGTAAATGCAAAACTTCATGAATACATGAGATATAATGGTCACAGGCCATGATCCAGGGATATAGAAATCTTAAAAAGACAATCTGAAAAAGATTATGTAACCATTATGGTATGTTGTGTTTAAAACTTTGAGAAATACACATTCATTACAATGGGCTCAGGGACAAATGGTATATAAAATGGTATACAAATTGTCTTTGGAACCCTCAAAGTAAATTACAGTATAGGAATTGTGCATAGTAGGAGCAGTTCACCCAAAAATAAAAACTTCTGTCATTATATACTCTTCATAAACCCATATGACTTGAAATTTTTTAAGATTTTACTGATTCCTTTTTTTAAATTACAATAAATGGGGACTATCTAAAAGTAGTTCCTATTGTGTGCTATATTCCAGACCAAGTCATCTTAAGCCATATGAGCTTAATGTGAAAAATAGACCATTTTTTTCCTTTTCAACGATCAACCAGCAGGTCTGGAGTCACATAAGGGAATTATTTATTCACTTTAAAATATTTAAAATATTTTATACAATTTGTAAAAGAATTTAGGGAATTTGAGATGTGATGCTCTTATCAGTTAGTGGAAAATGTGCCACAAGTGCATGTAAACTTTAAATATCTCATTTAAGTAATTTTGTTTATTAATGCCAAAAAACAAAAACAAAAAAAACATTATATTTTCCTAAGTGAAACTGCATGCTTATAAATAGCTACACCTTTTGTTGTCATGGGCATTCATATTGTCATGACTCCCGTAGTCATGCCATATAATCTCAGTTGCTTTCTTGCGTTCTTGCAAATGTGCCATGGCAAGACTTTACTAATGAGGACACTGTTGGGAGTGGAAATGCCCAGGGAACACACACATACCAGATAAATAGAATTTAAAGATAAACAGACACACTCCAGTGATCCACAAAATATACCACTGTTGTTACGTGATGAACATATGGTCTGAACTCTTTCTTTCTGACATGTGCATACATTTTAGTAATGGTAATTGACTGCTGCCAGGTTTCTTAGTAACTGTTGAATGTTTGCCACTGGGTTTGGCACATTGTCTGTAGACTGTGTGCATTTGCCCACCAGTGACAGAGAAGACACATTAATCCCAGATATTTACTAAGTCTTGAGCCAGACTTCAAAGCAAAGGCTTCATATAATCTCCACTATTGCTGTTGGTTTAATTAGTCATTTAGCATTTTAGCAGATTCAAAGACTCGCAATAGTTTTTATTATGCTATCATGTAACTTTTAAATGTGATGGCAAAGCCATGCAATTTGTAGCATCATTACTCAAGTATTTATTGTTACATGATCTTTCAGAAATCATTGTAATCTAAAATGAATTCCCTGTTTTGCTGCTGTCGCCTAGGCCATGTGGTCAGCAATTTTTCTTTTTTAACAAATAGCATTACATTACCATCTTTTGTATTGTTTTTGGTGACTGTTGTAGGAAGAGCAGCCTTTCTATAATTTTGTTTCTATAAAAAGTTACCACAGTAATTTGACTTAAATCTCCAGGTCCCATCCTACATTGTTTTTGTTTTATTTGGAAATCTGTCTCTTTAGTCAAATGAATACAGTTTCATGTTCCTTTCAATTACATGCTCAAAAGTGTAATGGTTATTGCTCTTTATTTTTCAAAAAATCATGTTTAAAGGAACCGAATTACTGTACAGCAGTATATCCCCTCCCCTGACTCGAGGTTGCCAGATAGGCTGCAGGATCTACAAATCGTTATTTTATTTCGGACTTTGTCGCAAAGTATTTCGGAATCATAATCAGGTTTTTTTTTTTTTGGATTCGTAACGTTAGACATCTTTTTATCCAAAACACAACATGACAACATCAACATCAGTTGAGGGCTGCAACTTCACTTTTTACAATGCTGGCTGGACTACTGTTGTCAGTGATATAAGTATTTTAAATTAACATGATTTCTTAATGTTTAGTGACATATCAGGGCCATTTTATGATTAATTGAAATACATTTCTTACATACGGTTCCTTTAAATACGGCATACATGACTCAACTTTGTAGCCTTTATAAGCTCTGAAGGAATCCACATGTTTCATTGATGCTTTTGGATTGTCTTTCATCTTTTGCTTTTTATTTGCCTTCTGAATGTATGCTTTGTTACTAAACAAATCTATGCATGCAAAATATTTGGTCCCTGTCTCTACTCTGATGTACTTTTTCTCCAGTATTCCACACTCCTCTTATCTCACAATGTATGACTAATTTACAAATTCTTCATATTCATCAGCTGACAATTGTCTGATTCACTATGGCTTAAAATGTTTTTAAAGAGCCTATATAAAGAACTGCCTGTGTCTTACTGAATTCAATCTTTCTTTAGGTTTTCTGGAGTTCCTCCCCCAAATCTTGGCAACAATACTAAACTAGTGGATTGGATGCCTCAGAATGACCTGTTGGGTAAGAATACATCCTATCTCCCTACTAAATAAAAGTACATTTTTAGAAAGTCATATGAAGTTTGAATGTTCCCTCTGGAATTTGTGGCTACACTATACGTTGCTTATTAGCATGCATCTTACTCGGATAGGCTGTTTATTGGTTCTTATAAAGCACATATTAATGCCTTGTTCTGCATGACCATATTCTAAATCCCTTAATTCTACCCAATACCAAAACTTAAAGAGTAACTAAACCCTAAACCAACTTTTTTTAGTTAATGATCTGGATCTTTTTTAATACCAGTCATTGATTTGAGTGTACAGTATAAAGTGTTTTATTTCTACAATATATGGTGTAAAAGCGTCTTAGTGCTACCCTCTTCAGGTTGAACGGTGTCTACTGTAGTTGAATTTTCCTATTGGATGTTCCACACTTCGTGACGTTCGCAGGTTTCAGCTCACCACGCTCTTGGTACGAGCTACGCCCTTGGTAGTATAAAAAACAGCTTGTTTCATCAAAACCACTGTAGCCAGTCAGGAGTTGGAATTGCGACTATTGAAAACGTGTTTTAGCATCTATTTCGTCCCCTCTATCTCTGCTGGGGTCTGTCCACTTTTTCAGCATTTTTCATATATTGCCAGTGGGTGGAGTCAGGCTCTGACTAGGGGTTTAGTTAGCCTTTAACAACTACTTTACTATTAATATGCAGTAATTAGGAGTTATTTGAGGCAAAAGTTATTTGTCACAGGCTTGTAGAACACGAGACATGGATATTACAATTTTACAATTGCAGGGAATTATTAATGATGGGCAAACCAGGTAAACTCAAAATAATACAGAACTACAAACAAAACAACCATGTGGGGGAGAAAAACAATAGAGAGCATAGAACTTAGGTAGCATAGAACACATAAGGGAACCAGCATAGGACTAAAAACACAGGGAGGCTAAATAGGGGAACAAACAAAGTAGGGTAACGAACGAGCATAACAGGTGGGACAAATTAACCAATAATCAGATAACAAGATGGGAGGGGCTAGACAATACACAAGAGTGCACAGCACAAAGGAAACACATGACAAGCCATGTGCTCACAATAAACAGAACTTGAACACAAGCACATGACAAACCAGACACTGTGACAAAAGTCTTGATTAAAAGTTAGTTAATAGTGAGAATTGGACCCTAATCTGAAGTGTGTCTCAAGTAAATCAAGTAAATTATACCGTTTTAAGGCTGTTTAGATATTTTTACTGGAAAACCGATTTTTTACTGGAAAATTATTATTTTTTAGTATTAGTGTGTGTGAAAGGGAGAGAGAGAGAGAGAGCACATCCTCCTCACTGTTCTTTTCTCCATCTCCTAGGATAATGTGTCTGTTGTCTTAGAGGACACAAAGCCTGCGTGTGTGTTTGTTTGTGTGAATGAGTTTCTGTCTCATTGTACACCATGGGCTTGAGGTCACAGAGGACCTTTATGTCATCATCATTCTTTCTTTTCTCTCTTTCTCTCAATGTCTTTCTGCTGTCCGCCACACTTCCTGTTCTCTGAATGACCTAATTCATGCATCCTGTGCTTTGGTCTTCCATTAGATTGATCTTCTCATTCAACCATAAGTAACGACCAGAAAAAAGTCTGATACACAAAGTCGATAGACAGGGTGAAACCAAGGCATTTCTTCTCTGAGGACACTCGGCTGTTTAACACAAACACCTATTTGTTTGAGGTTCAGCTGGATTAAACTTCAAGATCAGTGATCCATGGTTAAAACTGTCACAGTAAACATCAATGATTAACTTCCATTTTTATCAGAGCCTGAAAAGCACTTAAACACACTGTGTGCACCTGAGCTTTATGCATGAAATGAAACAGCCCTGCTTTCATGTCAGTACCAGTAAGAAAGTGATACACACTCCACCCTATCCGTGAGAAGCCTTAGACAAATTTACAAAAAGTATGCAAATGATCCTTTGATTTTCCTATGTGTGTTTTCCTAAATGTATTTTTTAAAATGATGTGAGATTACTAAATAGCTAATGTACAACTAGCGATTCTGAAAGGGTCAATAAAACTCTTTGTTTATTGTAACTTATACAGAGGAAGAAACAGCAGGCACAGGGAGGAACGAGTACAGAAGCAACTGAATTAAAACTGCTTAAATCAACCTTGTCAACTTTCATTTTATTGGAATTATGGCAGTTTTACTGGATAGTTTTTGGAATTTTGCGAGGCAGACATCTCTATTTCTGTCTCCTGAATACAAAACCCTCAATATTGAACACTGGTGTGTAACTCATCTCACACTGTTTATGCTTTTCCAAGCAATCAGACTCACAGAGGATTAATGGGTAAATCAGTTATTTGGAGAGATAAAATGAAGGAGACCGAATATAATAGGTGGGCTCATTAATGGGCCAATAACCCCCCAGAAAATCTATGGCTACTTTTACATTAATCCAGATAGAGTTAAAACTAGCGTTTTCGTTTCAAAACGCTCTCCATCCACACTAGATTTTTTAAGCATTTTCCTCACTGTAAACATTGGAAAATGCTAAATTCACATAACTGCACATACGTAAACACTCAGACAAAATAAAGGCAGGATTATGGCAGGATCATTTTATTTACCATTTATCCAGGTCGTACTCACTCATCATTATACTGTATGTTTGATCTAAAATGCAACTGCTCATATTTTGCCGCAGGACTGCAAATGTGAATAAATTATCTGTCATATTTGCAGGACTGTGATATCAAGAGTGGGTAAAGAAAATTATTTGAACAACTGTGTGAAAGTAAAAAGCACATAACAGACATTTTCAGTGTGAAAGTAAATAGCACTCCCATTTTCTGATTAATTAATAAACAAGATCACATCACCCCAATCCTACGTTCTCTGCACTGGTTACCAGTTCGATTCAGAATTGATTTAAAAATGTATTTCCCATCTCACTCAGATCAAGAGATCAACATATTTTGGCTGTTCCACAATCTCGCTTAAAATGCAGAGGTGATCTTGCTTTTGCAGTAGTCGGCCCTAAGCTGTGAAACACCCAACCACTACATATAATAAATCAGCTTCCACACTACCTGAATTCAAATATTAGCTGAAAACACATTTTTTCTCTTGTGCATTCAATGTATCATAACTCGTATGGGTAACATTTTACTTGAAGGGGTGTGCATAAGACTTACATGACACCTTAATCATAATCATGACATGTACGGCTGCAACTAACGATTATTTTGATAATCGATTAATCGGACGATTATTTTTTCGATTAATCGGATAAAAAATTTATTTCATTTTTTTGTTTATTATAACTAAATAAAACCCTAAAAACCACACTCTTTTGTGTGTTGAACAATCTTCTTAATACAGACAACTTCATTATATAGAAAAACAACAAATAAAAAAAATATATATGAGCATAACCTATGACAAAAATGCTATTGTAAACTAGATTAGTGGATAACTCAGAAAAACTTAGCCTAGAAAAATCACAAGTGCACAATAATTTTATAAAATCTGAACATTTAGTGAAAAAAACATTCCTTAGTGGGGAAAAAATAAGAGACAATAAGTGTAGCACTATCTCTGGTAAAACGTTACACATTGCTCTTTGTATTGTTGTTATATATTCATGAAAAACATTGTAAAAATCAGATGCACAGCTGTTTAGTGAGGAAGCAATATTGACTGTGTATTATACAGTATCTTTGCAATAGTTTATTCAGCCTTTTCTTTTAACAGTTTTAAATTTCAGTTAGGCTACTGTGCACGTGAAGAACAATTATAGTGCGCCGAGTCTACTCTAGTGTTGTGATCTAACAGACACTCAGTAGAAAGTGATTAAGTTACAGCAATAAAAGTCTAGCAAGATAGTCATTATATTACGAAACCATAGACCTTTATCTACGGATCAATTATAATAATAACATTGAATCATCTTGGAAAGAGTTTCATCATGTTAACTGTTGTAACGCGACGCGCTGTTTGAACGGAGGGAAAAGCTTACGTTAACTTGAATTTAATGACTTAAATATACATTTCTATCTCACATTATACTACAGTATGGCTTCATAAAGTATACACGATTAACGCAGGTCACCTTTTTTGGTTTCAAAACGGCGAATTTGCCGAAAGGTGAATGATTTTCGTGTATGCTGCATATTGATAGCGGTTTCCTGATGCCCGCAAATTAGTTCAAACTCACGGAATCAAGAGTGCGCATGCGAGACAGAAGATAATGTGCTCCAAACCGTCCGTGTTGCGCACAGACAGGCGAGGGAGAGAGACTGCGTGTGAAGCGCATGTAAGAAGCGCATGTAAGAAGCGCATGTAGCATGTAAACAATCCCTGTGACGTAATCAGACCAACTAATCGATAATGACATTCGTTGTCAACAATTTTCATAATCGATTATAATCGATTTTATCGATTAGTTGTTGCAGCCCTAATGACATGACATGTTTTATGCATGTTTGTGACAACTATCATTAAGTGTCATTCCCTCAGTTAGGACATTTTTAATGCAAATATGACATTGTTCGAGATGTCTGTTATGACAACTTAACATAAACCAATACATCATAACCTGTCAGAATCTTTGTCATGACAACTTGACATTGCTAAGACAACACAACCTGTCATTAACATGACATAGCAGATTAATTATCAAACTTGAGAAACCACCTAGCTTTATTGGTTACCATTACATTAAACTGTCAGGTGGTTGGTTTTGACATTGGCGGTCATAAAGCCATTATACATTTTTAATGACAAATTCTTTTAGTACCACAGTAGTTCACGAAAAATATTCATGACACAGTTATAATGTCCTCATGACAGCCAATGTCAAAGCCAACCACATTATAGTTTAACTTAATTTTATGTCAAGTTGTCATGACAAAGACACTGACAGGTTATGATGTATTGGTTTATGTCAAGTTGTCATAACAAAGACATCTTAATGTAATTACAGTATTTGTATTCAAAATGTCATTATTGAGCGAAAGACGCTTAATGACAGTTGTCACAAACATGCATAAACAAGGTGTCATGTCAGTCTTATGTACACCCCTTCAAGTAAAGTGTTACCCTTTTTTGTCTTGCTTTGTTTAGTCTTTCTTACTTTACAGTACAGCACTTTCCTCAACCAAAGTTGATTTTAAATGTGCTCTATTATTAAAATTGATTTGATTTGACAATACCGCGGTATAAACATGAATATCCATAGGTTCAATATGCATCACATGACTAAACCTGTCATCGTTTTCAAATGCCTCTGTTTTCACAGTCCACACTACAACGCGAAAACAGCGTTTTTAAATGTATTCACTTTGGAGAGCATTTTCAGAAAGTTCATAAAAACGTTAACATGTAGACAGAAGGCCAAAACGGAGAGAAAAAATGTGTTTTTCAAACGAAAACGTATTAGTGTGGACAAGGCCTTAGTAACAGTCGTGTCAACCACCCAGAACATCCAAAAACATCTTTACAACGACTCAAAAAAAAAAATATATATATTTTTTTTTAAATTAATTTTACCACGAAGAGGAGCCATCCATCCAGTAACTTTGTTGTTACTTTGGTCTCACTCAAAAAGCCACAGTTAAATAATGATTACAATACAGAAGCTATGGTAATGTTATTTGTTTATAAATTGCACAATTTTCAGTATAATTGTAGTTGTTGTTGTTTTTTTTTCACTCACATTAGATCTCTTGTTTACCCACAGGACAGACAAACACACGGGCCTTCTTGAGCCACGGGGGCTTGAACAGCATCTATGAGGCCATGTATCACGGTGTGCCCGTGGTGGGTGTCCCGCTGTTTGGAGATCACTATGACACCATGACACGAGTTCAGGCCAAAGGCATGGGCATAATGCTTGAGTGGAAAAGGATGAGTGAGGAAGACCTTTATACTGCCATGGTTAATGTCATTACAGACAATAGGTAAATCATATGTGTGCCTGTATTAAATTAATTAAGTGTATTGTTGAACACACACACACAAAATATATAGATCCAAATATAAATCCAAATCCACACACAAAGCCACGTTATATTTTTATGACTGTGGAATTGGGGTTACTGAAGTTTAACGATAAACAAGACCTTAGAAGACCCCGCAATGGTGTCAATATTTGCAGATCCATAGTGTTTCAACAAATCCAATGGAGCCAAAGAGCAACGTAGTCTACAAAATAGTTTCTAGAGACTGAATTTGAGAGCTTTTAGTTGTATTAAAGAGACTCAAAATGAAAACTCATTATTTACCCACCCTCATATTGTTAAAAAATCCGTATGTTTTGTTTTAGCTTTATCAAATATATATATATATATATATATTCTCCTAAAATAAAAGATTGTGTTCATAGAACTTATCGCAGATTTTTAGATCTGTATTGGCAAACTACACTAAGTGTTTGGGAAGAGAAACTATTGTACAGTGCCATCTTGTGGCCAAGTTCAACATAATGTAGGTGATGTGCTTGTGCTCTCTTGGATGTTCTGAAACTTCTCCATCTCTCTTTCTATTAAGGTATCGTGAGCGAGCGCAGTTGCTGTCTCAGATTCATAAAGATCAGCCTGGTCATCCAGTGAATCGGGCCGTTTACTGGATTAGCTATATACTCCGTCACCATGGCGCCGATCACCTCCGCACTGCAGTCTACGAGATCCCCACCTACCAGTACTTCTTATTGGATGTTTTCATTGTGATAGGAGTGTGTCTGCTTCTTCTTGGCTTCTGCCTATACCGAATAGGCAAGTGCATTCAATCACGAGTGAGGCGCGGTTCATCTCCAGGGGAAAAGGTGAATGGACACTGTCATAATGGAATTCTAAATGGCAAGCACAAAAGAAATGGCCATGTTAAAAGTACAGATAAGAAACTAAAGTAAAGCACTAGGAGAAATCAACACTAACGCTTTACTAAAGAGAGGAATTAACAACTCTTCACTCAGAGCAGGGCCTATCCAGGAAATAAATACATGGGTCAATAAAGAAACAAAACAACCATTATAACAATGAACTGTAAGTAGGAAGCCAAAGTAAGGAAGAATGGAAGGAAACCTGAAAACATAAATGGAAAACTCCTGAGGATGTTTTTTTTTTTTTCTCCCTGTTGAGTGGAGTTAATGTTCTGTTGTTCAATGGTCCTGAATGTTGAGTTTATCCTTGTGGGAAAAGGTTTTGAAATGCTTTTGAAGTTTAGAAATTAGTGGTTTTAACAAGAAGTTATCATGGGGCATCAGGTTTCACTACATCCAAATACAATAAAGATCTCTATTTATAGAAATTTCATACTTTTTTGGGGCACAGATCACTGTTGACTTTTGTGCACTGAACTTAATTTATGTTCCATATTTATTTCTTACGCACTCCGTCCCTTCGTTTTCATTTCTTAAGCAAAATTAATTCTTGGACATTAGCAAGCTAGCATATTTGCTAATGTTTATGTTGCCAGCCTTGCCTTAATCTTTAAATATATCTAGCATGTTTTGCAAACTTACAACTTCATTCCTCATAGAGAAAAATCTGCACAAGCTAATGCTGCTAGTTGCTATTTTGCTATCTATGCAAAATGCTAGAGCCTTTGTTGAGGATAGTTAAACTTCAAATCTTGCTTCCATTTACAATAATTTGGGATCCTTAGAGCCAGTATACTGGTATACTAACATTCTTAGAGTATCTTTACCACTTTTCCCCTTTTTGTTTTGTTAATCTCAGCTCACGTCATTTAATGAATTGATAGCACAACTTTAGTTTCTCTTCAGAAGGGTGCAGATCATGCGTAACATCCCTTTACACAGTCCTCCTGTTAGCAGATATGGGTTCAAATAAGCAAAATTATACATTTTATTTGAATTAAGCCATTTACCCTATTCTGTTGCTTCATGGATGTTTAGGTTTTAAAGTCTTCAGTTCATCTTTACTGTATGGTTTCTTTCATTAAAGCTGCAGTCCGCAGCTTTTCCTCTTTGTCGCCATCTCTGTTCGAAATCTGTAATTGCAGTTATTCACGGAATTATCAACAGCACAGCGTGGATGAACACAATGTTTGAGGAGAGTGTGAGGCTGTCAGTCACCGTGCTGGTGTGGATACTGACATTCAGAATCACATATTCTTTTTGGAAGCATGACTAACAAGAATTTTCATTGGAAAATGTAATCTGAACAAGTAAGGAACATCCACTTTTGGTCTGGTTCAGACATTGCAGTAAATTGCGCTGATTAAATCTAACAATCGCTTATCATATCACGCAAAACCGTCCAAATTTACTTTGTTCTCAAATTGTTAATGTTAACAACGTCAACAGTGCGTGACTACATGTAATGTCCTTCCGATATGTATCCTTGTTTTCGCATGCAGTCTCTTTGTTTCTGTAGCCACTCCGAAGTCCGAACGAAGTCTTTCGCGTTTTACACCGGGTGAATCTGTTGTCACTGGGGATTGTCGTTTAAACTTTCTGGATCCGCCATCAAATTGATAACTTAAGTTTAATTATATCAAGTGTTGTGAGAAAAGGCTATAAATCTCCACCTCCAACATCCTCACATGCAATATAGCCTACTAGCCGAGACTCATTTATGTGTACAGATGTGTGTGTACAGATGTGACATAATGACGCAAAGACATGCTCAAATCTCCCGCGGAAATCCATCAGTACCCCTGGAATTAAAAACATTATTACAAGCTTACCGCTTTGAATCGAGCTAAGACACAGATAGTTTTGAACACTGGCTGGTTATGTATTTTCTCAAATATGTATTTTGGATCATTTTTAACCCCAACAAAGCTACAGACTGCAGCTTTAAGCAAATCATAGGAGGAACAGTATTTTTTTTTCAAACGCGGTTTGGTATACAGAATTTGCCTGAGTGTCTCAAAATGTCCCAAACAAACTACATTTTTTATTATAATGTGTATCGGGCTAGTGTTGCTATCAAAGCAAAAATCAATAGGCCTAGAGTGACCTGGACGATTAACATTTCCCACGGTACTCTACTGCTTCTTCTAACTTTCAGGATTTTTCATCAACGTACGTTCTGTGAAAGGCGATTTTTTGGTAACATTTCAATCTAACATTTAGTTTTGCAACTTTTCAAACTGTTTTGAAGTGGCAATAAACAGAATTTCTGCAACTTATTTGTGCGTTAAAGTGCATTCTCACCCTCAGAGTTTTTCTTTTATTTTTTAAATGCCACTGGACAACCTGTTATAAAATCACATGCTGGTTTTACAACTCAATGTCAGACTGATCTGTTGCCAGTAATGGTCTCAGTTTGGAAGTGTATAATTGTTTTAAATGCACCACAACATTTGAAATGCACTTATTTTATCAAAATACAAAGTGATACGTTACATTTAAGTTTTTATGAAGGATTATGAAATTGTGGACATATTTAAAGCCAGTAGGTATAGTTATTTGCATTAAATGGGGATTATAAATGAAATGTGTTGTATAATTCATTAGAACAGCAACATCATGTTCTACCACTGTTCCTATACCGTAAATCCTATTTTTCCCAGATCACTAAAACACCATCACCTAAGAACTCAAAACCAAAATAACCCAAATGAAGAATTTTTGAAGTAATACAAATTAGAGACTGTTTTTACCATGAGGTTTAAAGCATTTCTTGAGCCAAGCACTGTTTTAGACTGTCCATACTTGAAAATACACTGGCTGCAAATGCATTAGAGCTATGACTGGTGAAACAGAAAAACACTTTGGACATTATAATTATTTTGTAGTCTGTTTTGTATGATTTTCAGTATTAATATTAGATGGTTAACAACAGAGAAAAAAGCTGCATATGGGCTCTGACATTAAAGGCTGTGTGTGTGTGTGTGTGTGTATGTGAGTGGTTCTAGATTATGAAACATGTATGTGTGTACATTTGAATGGTTGCTTGAGCCTACTGTACTTGTGCCCAGATTTCACTTTATATACTGATGTTTAAAACCAATGCTCCAGTTCACAGTACATCAATGCCTTTCTTTGTCTCTTGTAGTCTGTTTCCTGATCATGTCCTTGTAAGAAGTAGTCATTAAAAGCTGGAGTTTAGTTTTTCTTCTTTCTTTTTATTCATAATGATTTCACGTGTGCCTGTGTACATAAAAAGACAAACAAAAGTACTAATGCTAAATAAACATTAAACATTTTGTTTGCTTATTTTTGTCATCTGATGATTCTCTCTTGATTGTGTAAGAAGATGTTGCTGCCTGTAACATCAATGGAAATTCAGTGAGCTAGTCTGAAAGTCACAGGGCACGTGTGTGGTGTCAAGTTCCACTGTCCTGAAGTCTCATTTTTTCCCATGACCTCATTGTGTGTCTAATCCTTATTCTGAAAAAAAAAAAAAATGTTTTTGCATGTTCGTTTGGTGCTATCAGGTTGATACGCTTTGCTAACTCACTACTGTTTTCCTGTGAAAATAGTAAAAACAATTATTTAAAAAAAAAACCAACAACAAAAAAACAAAACAATGATTTGATAAATAATTCTAATTACTGTATAATGCTGTTTTACAATACATATTGCAATAATAAAGACAGCGGGGTATTTTATTTATTTATTTATTTTTTTTATTTCTTAGTTAACAGCTGCCGTGGGAGATGATGGAGTGTAAAACTACACCCCTGTTGGACAGCAGGTATCAGGTGTTGTCCTTATGTTTTCAGCCCTGTCACACTAGATGGGTGTGTATCCAGAAAATACTTGTGTGTGTTGATTAAGAGATAAACTGACACATTATCCCATCTTTCTCTTAATTATTCACTGAGAGTTTAGCAGATAATGTGTGCATTAGTATGCATGTTTGTGTATTAAGACTGTTTAGTGCTAATTAAACAAATTTTTTTTTTCTGGTTTCACAACTAGACAACACATGCTCATTGAAAAAACGTGCCTGTGGCGACATTTCTGCATATGATATTACATTGCTTCTTGCACTTTCAACACTTTCAAAGAGAAATGTCCAATGAGTGGTGCTAAAAGCGTGTCCAGTTTTATTTTTTGAAATGAGCGTTTTATTACTTTGGTTGTTGTACATATCTCGGCATTTCAGAAATGAAATGCTATCACGTTTAAAAACAATGAATCCTACACTAAACCGAACTGATAGGTTTAACTGAAGCAAATGTAACAGTAAAAAGCACTTGCTGAAACTACAATGCCATTTTAGCTAGCTTCTACAAGTCTTTTTTTGTGACCTGTGTTTATCAAGACTCATACACGATGCTGTACCAGGTGAGCTACCCCAAGTTTAAAGCTGTACATACATGGAGCTGGTTATGTGCATGTAAACATCAAAATGTTCTAGTTTACATACCATGCACTACAGTAAAGGTGTACCGATATGAACATTTTAGCCATACCGATAACCGATAATCCTTTATATTTGAAATCCGATAAATGATATATTGGCCGATAAATCTAAATCCAAATCCAACTTTTATTATTTTTGAGAGCCTAACACAACAGTATAGCCCGATTGTGTTCTCATCATTTTAATGACGAATCATTCAAAAACATAAATGAATTCAAATGTGGAATCGCAAGCCGGTTGTTCCTGAAGGTCTCAGTACCCAGTGTATATGGATCAGCTTCCTCCTCCGAATCACAACCTGTAAGTATTATTAATAATTTTTGCTTTTATGGGTTTTGTAGTGTCGGGGCGCAAGGAGGGAAGGCACAATAAGTATGTGTGTGCGTGTGTGTGTGTGTAAGTTACGCTCAGCGCAGCTTCGCTGTTATTGGAGTTGTCAAGAATAGAGCGTCTTGTAGTACTGCAGTGCATTATCAATATGTTTATGCGTTGGGCTAACAAACAATAACTGAGGTCATCTGACTAATCACCGCCGATTAGTGTCATACAAAGGAGTGGTTTGGAAAAATGAGTCGTTGTACGAATCATTTGGGAGTCGGTAAGCAAATCAGGTAAAAATAAATGCATATTATAAGAACAAAAGTGTTTTTTTATCTTTGCATTCATGTAAAATTGTTGTTGGGGACTCCCAGAACAATATTAGGGACATTTTAAATGCCATAATAGGTGCCCTTTAAGTGGTTTCAATCATGTTTCAAGGAATTTAAAACTGCCATGACTAACAGTGCGAATCTGAAGGGTCTCAGCTCAGCTGAAGGAAACAATCCATTATTTATCATCTTTAATATAGGCTAAATCATCTTATCGGGCCGATAACATTGAAAATGAATATATATCCAATACTGATATGGTGGGCATTATATTGTAGTATTGAGATCATATAGAATTTTGCAAGAAATCATGCAAAAATTATGTTTTTATTAATCAATAATCTGGCCTTATAATCACAATAAAACAGAATGGATTATGTGAACAGGTATAACATTTGTTGGTGTTTTACAACCACTAGTGTGTATTATATGCACTTGTGAAATATATGGAGTTTTGCAACAATATACAGTAGAGGCATATTTTTGAATGAGCCTAAATTGCAATTAGAGTTTGATTCTGGAAACATGGAGCATGAGTAGAACTAGAAGATTCAGATGTGATCCTCTTATAAGCTTCCTTTCTCTTGTTGCCTCGTCAGTGTGTTCAGAGAATTGATGTCCTTCATGGTGGCAGACTTCAATCGATTTAAAGGTCAGATGCCGAAAAAGGAGGAGCAAGGAAACAAGTTTCAATTAGAGTTCTGAGAAACACTCCTTCTTCATTGCAGAAAGGTGCCCTGATTCTAACCTGACAGGCTAATGAGGCCTCAACCCTAACCTGACCTGATCAGCCGGTCAGGCACAAAGCAGGGCACCTTGAGCCAATTACAGTAAATGTCATGAGACTAACCACTTAAGAGCCAAGGGGAAATTATGTCACGACAACACTTCCTGGCTGATAGCTGAACTCATGGACCCTGCATCTTTCTTTTGGAGTTTTTCAGAGTCAGTAAGATTTCTGTATTAATACGGTGACTTTAATTGAATTGAAAGAAAGTCAAGTTATATTGTTTTTTCACTATTTTGGTTGAACACATCCTGAGCAAATGGTCAATTGTAGAATGGGAATGGGTGTAGGACACAGAGAACCATCTCAGACAATGGGGTGTCTCAACTTTATTAACATACAGACCACAGCTGTTGCAATAAGAGCAACTTTATTTACATTAAGAGTGGTAAACTGTAACAGGATAAAAGGGTTAAGCTTTGGATGTTCTAGGTTCATGCTGACGCCAGTGAACCCAAGGTGCTTCGTGTACTGCCACTGCTATGCTGTAATAAACTTCACTTCTGAGATCTTCAAC